ATTTATTGTTACATAGGCAAATACTTTCTCATTCTTTTCTCTTGAGTGACCAACAGTAACCCACTTAACATTTCTGGCCACCTCTATTCCTTCATCTGAAAAATAATGAACTTGGAACTACATAGAAGATCTAGAACTATAGGAGCTCTAGATTTCTCAAGTTTAAAATGTCATTCCTCAGCAATACTACTACTAATGTGTGAAAGCCCACAATTGCTAGGAAATGCACTCAAATTGCTTTTTTAGTTTTATAGTAGGTTTTATTAAATCAAGCTTTTTATTCAGAATTTACAAATGAACGTGCCTATGATATAAGCTGGATAAGATCAAGGGCAGAATCTGTGATTGTAAAGCTGAACTTCTGAGTAATCTCTTTGGCAGTACATGTTGTTATCCCCTCTGTGAGCAGACATTCACTGTTCAAAGCAACAAGCTCTTTGATACTTAGAAATTTTGGATTCTGCTCTATTTTTAAAAGCTACTATATCAGCATTCATCAACTGTGTGACATAGCCATTCATTTATTTTCAAAAAGGCTATTCTATAATCACACTTCCTTTCAGGAAGCCCACCAAGTAAGCAGAAGCCTAAATTACTGATAGCAATTATACAGAGGCCTTTCTGTTGGTTAAGTAGCAGGACTAATTAAACTAATGTGCTAAATCTCGAACTAATAATTATGCAGAAAAGTGGTATTTTGTTTTTAGTGGTTGTGCACCTTTCATATGAAGCTCAGAAGGGTAAAAAATTCTAGAATAAATATTTTTCTTAATTGTATTTTTAGGAAGGCTGATTTCATTGGTCTCTACTTATAAGAAATACTGCCAATTTTTACTAATAGAAATAATTACAATTCAAAAAATATTATTTAAAAATTTTAAAATAATAATTCTTATGATGGCTAATTAGGAGTCCAGTAAATTTTCAAAATGCTTCATAAGATTCCATTTCTATTCAAAAAACCCAATTTTTCCACTAAATATTCACATGCATTTTGAATTATATTACAACTAAAATGTTTTCTAAAAATGGCTAGAATTCTTAGAATATTCATATGCATTCCAAAACTATATTTACATATAATTCTACTGTTATTAGAATACAAATGATTCTGAAAAATATTTAAAAATGCATAACCATAAATTATTTTTTTGGTTATATCAGATATTATTGGGCAAATAACAGGCAACTTAAATGAAATACTGGTAGTCTGGCACTTAGCTGCTATATTAGTTATGTTTATATCTCTATATATTTTGGTGAGGTTTATATACTCAAGGGACCTAATTCAACTTGTAGCTTCTCCACAACCATGGACATCAGGTGTTACTTTGATTTTATCCAAAGAAACAGAAGGTTTCTTGCAGTGAAGGTTGTTTCATAATATCTATAATAACCTAACAGGTTTCCATTAAATAAACACACACACATACTCACACAAAAACAACAACCCACAAAAAATAAAAAAACTTTGGAGGCAGGAGAAACCCAGATTAACTAGGAAATCTTAAAAGCAACAGGAGTTAATACCAACTAGATGGGGAGTAAAAGTGACACATCTTCATTTGTAATGGAGGGGTTGAGCTATAAATAGAAATCCCAGTAACGCCTTCTCTATCACAATCTTAAGGGGGGGGGGATGTGAAATACTTATGATCCCTAGGGCCTTAGCATGAGGTCACAGCTAAAGAAATAAAGTTTGTAACACCATTGTACCTATCTAAAAATTCTGGAAGTTGAGACAGAGAAAGTAAACCTTGCTACAGAAAAATACAAAATGTAGTTGTGGGGTGGTGCAGACTGTGATGTTTAGCTTTCAGAATACTTCAGAGATCGTTTAGTTAATAAACTGTTAATGAATAAAGGTTTTTCATACTATATAGTATGGTTCATATGAGCCTGATGTAGATTATTAGACTGAACTACATATAATTAGCTATTTCCTCAATAATCCTAATGACAGGAAAAAAATTTAAACTATAGAGATAAAGCAATAAAACAGATTGCTTATTCATAAAAATTAAAATATCCCTACCCTACTTCTGGATACAGGCATAAAAATAAACAGACTATTTTCCTGAATGAACACTGTGGAATCACTGAATGATCTTGGTCTCACTGAAAACCTCTTTTTGTCATGCAATAATAGGGTAAGAATGTGAACAACTAATGAAAAAGTTTGGTGATTTTAATTATTAATGATGAAAATGCATTATAAAAATTACCTAGTTACACATTTAACAATATAAAGAAATGGCTTTCTGAAAGATAGTGTAAATGTGTTGTATTAAATCCCATCAAGTTCCTTTCCTCTTGTTTTTATTGTAGGAAAAGCATACATGTACCTGCAATATCTAAAATAAATTTGCATGTTTACTGGTATTCTAAGAATAAGTATTATATCATCAAGATGGGAAAAGGAATTGCTATAGCTCTGCCCAAAGCACAATATAATAATATGTAAAACTAGAGGCCTGGTGCATGACATTTGTGCACTGGTGGGGGTCCCTCAGCCTGGCCTGCACCCTGCCACCACCGCCACTGTGTCTGTCAGCCGTGAGCCCAGCTTCTGGCTGAGTGGCACTCCCCCTGTGGGAGCTCACTGACCACCAGGGGGCAGCTCCTGCACTGAGTGTCTGCCCCCTGGTGGTCTGTGCACATCATAGGGACTGGTCGTTCTGCCGATCGATCTATTTGCATAATAGCCTTTTATTATATAAGATAAGATACCAAAAGATAAAGCTGTGATTAAAAAAAATCATGTGGTCTAAGAATATACTTTGTCTCTGTACAAAGTAAATCATGGAATATGGTAAATTATAAGGAGGCTCACTTTGCTGTTTAGCACATACAATGTTTTTCCTCAGATCTATGGAATTGAGTTCTTAATTCAGTATCAAGCATTTTAGAACTGAGGTTCAGTTTTTTTTTAGCAAACTTTAGTTTCCTGGACATTTCTTCCTGAAGCAGAAGGAAAAGAATAGTTAAAGCTTCTATCAAAATGCTCTTAATTCTTGACATAAAAAACTTATCAAAAACAATTAAAAACAAAAAATTAGAATGAGAGACCTACACATCAAATATATAGTGAACTCGATGTGAGTTAAAGAAAATATGCCATGTAAAATAAAAAATAAGAAATGAACTAAACATTTTTGAAGAGAAGAGAAATTTTGCCAAATTTAAAGTAGTACCATAGTAACTTAAAAAGATTTGCTTAAAAGAGACTGAACACATAAAGCACCCATTTTCATATACCCAAATTTAACCATATATTTTCTCTTCCACAATAGTTTTCATTTATTTTGAAGGTTGGTGAGATTCTCTGAATAAGGAACAAAATCAAAAGACATTCTATTTTTTAAAAACTGTGAATGTTTGAATTGGAAAGAGTACAGATTTTCTCTGTGAGCTTTTGATTACATTTTATTACTAAAGAATGATTTCATTTTAAATTGGTCACTAACGTAAAACAAGCATAGCCTCCAAATGGAAATTTAACTCTGATGTACAAAAGCAAGATTGTGTGATACAATTCAAATCTACTTAGAATCAGATTAATCAATCAGCTAATTTAATCAACACCAGTAAGTTTCCATGACTGCAATTAGATATGTTCCTGTGTCATTGTCCATTTATTCTACCTTCTTCTCTGTCATTATGCCCATGCTCCTAGCTAAATGAATCCTGCACTTGTCCATTTGCTCCCATCTTCTCTTAACTACTTTGAGACGTATTCCAGCAATCCTTACCTCTGTATACTACCTGGATATCCCCCCCCCCCCATTCCTTATTTACTCCCATCAGTATGCAAACATGATATTATTTCTCTCATCCAAGAAAAAAAAAATCAACTCTCTTGATTCCACCCGCCCCCTTTAGCGACTGCCCTGGATATCATGGCCTTTTCTGTGTCCTGGCCAAAATCACAATCCTCATCCTGATTTAATTTTCTCTTTAGCACTTAACATATTTTATATTAAATGTACCCATTTTGTTATTGTCTGGCTAGAATTTAAACTCCACAAAAGCAGAAATTTTTGTATTTTCTTCCCTACCGTATAGAAAAGTTTCTGGTACATAATAGACACTCAAAAATATATTTGCTAAATAAATGAATCCAACATTAATTGTGAAAATATTGGCTTATGCCATAATCATGTAAATATTAAATGAGTTCAGGGGCTTCTGCTTTTAGAAAATCTATAAAATTCTAGTAAAATAATTCATCAGTTAAAAACTCTGCTTGCTGGGTGCTTGACCTGAGGGACTGAGAAAGGCTCAGGTTTGTGTGTGGTTGCCAGAGGGAAGGGGGTGAGGGGAGAAAGGGGTCCTAATATGAGGTGACAGGAGATTTGACTTTGGGTGGTGGGCACATGGTCCTATATACAGATTTTGTAAATTAGTAATCCACACATGAAACCTATATGTTCATGTTGTCTAATGTCACCCCAATAAAATTTAATTAAAAAATTTAAAAATGTACTTATAATAAGATTTTTTTTTAAAGTGCCATTTCTCCTTCTCTTCTCACCGACCCCATGTCACCCCATTACAATCCCTTTTCTGAATAGTGAGAGAAGGTCTCAACCTCAGGGTAATCTAAAGCATTCTAGATTTATCACACTGCTGCCTTATCCCACCTGTAGCTCTAGCTAGATTTTATCTCAAACGGTAAAGGCAGCCATCTCTGAGCTGGAGATATTTAACATGAAGTCATATTTTGCTTATTGCTTATGCATCCTTGTTTAACAAGAATAGTATACCTTGGTTTGTATGTATGTGTTCATGATTGCTTGTTTTGTTGTTGCTAATGAATTGCTGCATTTTACAATAAATGTTCATTGTTAACATTAGTATTTAAGGTTTTAGACTAAAAAATCTAAAGAATTTTTTGTAGAGAATTTTTTTTCATAGCATTTATCATTATGGATTATTATCATTAGAGTGATGAGCCCAGGTGAAATATTCAAAAGAGGAAATAAATGTATTTATTTTACCTAGAGCTAACGCTGAGGAATCAGGCAGGTTTTTATCTTCCTCATCAGTACTTTCATCATAGTTTGTATCTCTGTTAGCAGACATTTCAGAACATGTTGTAATTTCCCTAGGAAAAGAAAAAGTTAGAATTATATATTATTGGCTCACCTCTGGCTAGATATCAAATTCACGAGTAAGTAATTATAGAAAATATTCCTGGAAAAACATTATAATTAAACAAACATATTGAAACATATATAATTAAGATGAAATCACTTATGTTAACTATATCTATATATATAAAAGGCTAAGTGACCAACTGACTGTCCGTCTGACTGGCCGGTACACATGACGCACTGGCAATTTAAAAATAAACATTGACTCACACATGCATGATACATACAAAGCTCTCGCTGGCGCCAAGCACACACGTGTGTTTCGATCTGTCATTGTTGATCATGAATTAGGTTGTTTTTGTTGACATTAAAGTTAAAGTTGTAAATACTTCATCACAAGGGAAATTAGTCAAGCACTCTGAAAGTGTTTTTACTGTTAATGTGGTATACAGGGAGATATTAGAATAAGTTTAATCAATTTATCAGTCACTTTTTATCAATGTTGTTTTTATATCATGTTTTTGTTATTTTTATATCATGTCTTTGTTGTTATACCATGTTGGTATTGTTTATTTACTAATCAATTTATATATTACTTTTATATACATTTTACTAATTTTCTTTCATCTCTGACACTTCTGTTATAGAGAAAAGGCAAAAAGTGACATTAAAATATTTCTTCTAATTAATTTTCTTTCAATGTGCACGAATCCATGCACCAGGCCACTAGTATTAATATAAATCACTATATGTTAACTATCTTTTAGCTAACCTACATATGGTTGAGTGCTCATTATACTTAATTGTTGAATCAGTTTCTTATCACTTATTATTCATTTATCAAAATACTATTCTTCTGGGGTCACAATGTTCAGTATTTTAATCTCAAAACAGTTCTTCCTTTCATTTGATCTCCTGAAAATTATGAGTCAGGTGCTTTTATTCATATTATGTAGATACTCAAGCAATGCATAGAGAGTTTAAAGGACTTGCCCAAGGTCATGTAGTGATAGTATCAACGTCAGACCAGCACTTGAACTAGGACCATCTGACTTCAAATGTTATATCTTTATACTAGAGGCCCAGTGCACGAATTCATGCACCAGTGGGATCCCTCGGCCTGGCCTGAGGGATCAGGTTGAAACCAGCTCTCCAACATCCCCTGAGGTGTCCCGTATTGTGAGAGAATGCAGGCCAGGCCAAGGGACCCCACTGGTGCACAATCAGGGCCGGGGAGGGCCTCGAAAGGTTGGCCAGCCAGGGAGGGACCACAGGAGGGCTCCAGGGCATGCCCGGCCTGTCTCACTCAGTACCGATCAGCTGGACCCCAGAAGCAAGCTAACCTACCGGTCGGAGTGTCCACCCCCTAGTGGTCAGTGCACATCATAGCACCTGGTTGACCAGTCAACTGTCTGCCCCCTGGTGGTCAGGGAACATCATAGCAAGTGGTTGAGCAGCCTTAGCATATCATTAGCATATTACGCTATGATTGGTTGAACGGACGACCGGACACTTAGCATATTAGGCTTTTATTATATAGGATTATGCCACTAGTAAACCTGTTTTCTCTCAGATGCGGGCAATATACCCAAACCTATATCTGCAAATGCCTAAAATAATTATAAATATCCAAGCCATACCAGCCATCAGTCATCTATGATTTTCCCTTAAAAATCCAGTACATACTGTCTCAGAACCACTTGATTCTAAAATTAGCTATTACTTATTCATCAAGATTACAAATGTGTTACCACTCTGTAGTTGTTCAAAACATTAAATTTTTAAATTAATATATTTTTTAGTGATGTCCAAGAATTAAACAAATAATATTTAGATAAACTTCATGCCAGTTTCATGATTTAAGTGTAAGTGTGACAGTTGGGCAGACACGGAGAGATCATGTTGAGATCTCCACCCCATTGTACCTAACAGCAAGAGCATCCAACCCCACCCAGACTATCAAATAATCTCATATTATTAAAAAGAAGGCATCTAACTTTCATTGAGTTTGGGAAGAAATTCCACTTAAATTTATGCATCTGCCATCTCAAACCAGAATGGTCAAATACCTTTCATGTTCGATGTTCTTTTCCAGTTCTTGAACTTCACTTAACAATTTATGTAAGCTTCTGATCTTTGCTTTCTTCTCATTCAGCACCAGAATAAATCGTTTATAAAGATCAGTCTCCAAATTTTCCTTAGCAGTCACACATTTTTCAAACCTAAAATATAAACAAATAACATTAACATTTTTCTTAACATTAATATTATAAAATGTAATAGTGAAGATTATTTCAAGAAACCTTTCCAAGGAAAACACAACTAAAAATTATTTTTATATGCTTCCATTGATTTAATTTAAAGTTTTATAGAAATAGCTAAATAATCAGAACTTATAGTTTATTATTAATAATTTATGTACTGAGATAAGAATCTAAGCTAGAAACTGATACCAAAAAACTTTTAAAATATCTAAATGCCTAAATGCAATAATTCAGTCACATCTCCAGTTTATTTCCAAATGAATATTTTTATGGGAGAAATTTCAAACGAGAGTAAACTACAGCCTATGTTTCCTATACTTTGTTAATATTACTCTAATAGCAATAGTGATCTTGTTTTGTGATTAAGTGATTTACCTATTCAGTTTCCCCTAAATAGATTATGAGCTGCTCTAGGCCAGGTGTAGCTTATAACCCAGCAACACACACACTGGCATACACGCACACATGCATGCACTGCACACAAAATTAATGAAAGTATACAACTTGAAAATTCCAAGCAGTGATTAATGAAACAGCAAATGTGAAACACTATGTATCTTCAATTTTAGATATGTAAGACAAAACATAAAATTCTCTATTATTTCTAACTAGAGACCCAGTGCACAAAATTCATGCATGGGGGGTGGGGGGGAGGGTATGTCCCTCAGCCCAGCCTGCACCCTCTCCAATCTGGGACCCCTCGAGGGATGTCCGACTGCCCGGTGTGGGATTGGGCCTAAATGGGCTGTCAGACATCCCTCTCACAATTCAGGACTGCTGGCCCCCAACCGCTCACCTGCCTGACTGCCTGATTGCCCCTAACTGCTTCTGCTTGCCAGCCCAGTCACCCCCTAACCACTCCCTTGCCAGCCTGATCGACACCTAACTGCCCTCCCCTGCTGGCCTGGTCCTCTCTTGCTGCCCTCCCATGCAGGCCTGGTCACCTCCAACTGCCCTCCCCCTGCTGGCCTGGTCCCCCTCAAGTGCCCTCCCCTGCAGGCCATCTTGTATTCACAGGGGGGCAGCCATCTTTGACCACATGGGGGTGGCCATCTTGTGTGTTGGAGTGACGGTCAATTTGCATGTTACTCTTTTATTAGATAGGATTATTTTTACAATATTCAAATGAGCTAATAGTAGAGTGTACTAATTTTGACATCCCAGATACACTACATAATATAAAGAAAGCAAACTAACAGAGTTTGCATGTACTTTACATGCATATATAAACCACCATGAATAAACATCTATGTAAAGACTCAAATATAAATTATTTCATATAAAATATGCTTTTAAAGTTAATCTAGTTCTGCCTTAGTTTTCTACCATATTGTTAATTTGTGCTTCTGTTGTTCTATGCAAGTATCCTAGTATTTTCACTATATGTATTTTTATATTTCTACTAGGGGCCCAGTGCACAAAATTTGTGCACTCAGAGGGGGTCCCTCAGCCTGGCCTGCACCCTCTCACAGTCCGGGAGCCCTCGGGGTATGTCTGACTGATGCGGAGGCAGGAGAGACTCCCGCCACCGCCGCTCTGTTCACCAGATGTGAGCCTGGCTCAGGGCTTCTGGCTGAGCTGCGCTCCCCCTGTGGAAGTGCACTGACCATCAGGGGGCAGCTCCTGCGTTGAGCATATGCCCCCTGGTGGTCAGTGCGCATCATAGTGACCAGTTGTTCCCCTGTTTGGTCGATTTGCATATTAGCCTTTTATTATATAGGATACTAACTTTTATATATTTATAATATACAAAATATTTTTCATTGAAATGATTAGAAATCAAACTGTCAAAAAATTTGATACCTTTGATATATATGCCCGTATGCTTTCAATAACATATCTATCTAGAGATACAAAGAATTAGGACCTCTCATGTTATGAACAGAAACATATGGCAATATATTTTCTGGGAACAATTACAGCACAGTCATGAGCTGGGAACTCATAAAGGCAAAGTGCCTGTGTGTTTTATTGGCTGCTTTATCCTTAGTACCTAGCAGAATTCTGCATTCAACAGATACTGAGTAGTTATTTATGAGAGAAACGAATAAAGTCAGTGCATTAACATGGACCCTTATAAGGAAATGGAGAACCAGTGATTCTGAATTTTATATCTTTCACTCCTTTATCAGCTATTCATCATTGTAGCAGTAATACTTTTCATTTTCTTCAGCTTCTAAAAAATTGTGGTAAATACTAATATCACAGTATTCCTTTCATCAAGCAAAGCTGTCTGAGAAACAAGTAAAGCAAAAAGTGTGTGTGGCGGGAGGGGTGGGGGGCCAAAGTTGAAGAGCTGCCAATATTGATGGCCTATTTTAAGCAGGACATGTCACTGCATTTGTATTTTAGGTGTAAAGTGTTAGGTAAACAGTATTTCTCATTTTCTTGTACTATTTTATAATGTAACACAATAATACAAATTTAAAAAAGATAAATAGAACATACATACTATTAAAATACCTGAGTATATAATAATGAAATACTTTAAAACTACACAAAGTAAAAACTAATTATAAAAATATACACTAAAAATCTTGTATAATTTATTATATAAAATTTTAGGAATGGTAACCAATTAGTAATTTATCTGATTTAAATACATATTTAATTTCCATATAAAACACTTCAATAATCCCTGATTGATAGAGTATTTGCTCTTAACATGAATTAAAAGTGAAAAAATATATAAAAATGAAATATCATATAATTTGTCTAAAATGCTGTTCATCTAAATAATTAGTATCATGACCACATTGTCAAAGGCAAAAACATTGCACTAATAGGAGAGCAAACTCAATAGAATGAGTGGTATCCTATGAGTTAAACTTGCTTGGTTTTAGCTCTCAGTTGTTTGAAGTTTGTCCCATGCACCAAAAGGTTGCGGTATGGATTCAGGTCAGTGCATACTAGTATGCACAGGTTGCGGGTTCCATCCCAGTTGGGGTGCATACTAGAAGCAGTGATTAATGTTTTCTCTTATATCTATCTTTCTTTCTCTCTCTCTTCTCTCCCTCCATCCCCGCCCTCTTCCTCCCTTCTCTCAGTGAGGATAAAAAATAAATATACTTGCTTGGTTTTAGCAAAACTTAGGATTTTGTTGCAACCAAATTTCTGACCATCAAACTGGGTAACACTTCCTAATTAAAGCTGGGAAGAGGGGTTTAGCAGGAACAGAGGATTACTGTGGAAAATTTCACGAAATAAATTTACCCTTAATTAATCAACAAATTCAGAGAATGCTATCCTTTTATTCACTATTCAGTACTAAAAGGCAATCACCACCTCCCATACCCCATATTTGATGCCAATCCTCCTTAGGGCATTAAGTTACCATGCCTTCCTTGTCTCATGCCAACCCTCCAGCTCAAGAATTAAACATGTATTATTCGTAAGTGGTACCATTCAGTAGAAGAGAGACATGGGATTCACTGCTAAGTTTAGAGATACTAAAGGAGAACTCATGTACAACTACAATTAGTCCAAGGCAAAGCTCAAACCTGATGAAACCATAAATAACTTCAAACAGGAAAAGCCTAAATGATGTTTCATCTTTTCAAGGGTGACTAGGACAACAGAACAATTATTAAGTTTAATTAGTAACTTAGGACTGAGGCATATAAAAAATGAAAATAAAAACTAAATATGAAAAATACTGGATATCCAAAATAAAATATTTCTGATAGGAAAACAAAGAATCTAAGAATAAGAAGTTTAAAAAAAACAAAAATATGAACATAAATAAGGCAATTCCATACAGAAATAACATCCAAAAAAACAACAACAAATTGAATAATAAACCCAAATAAAACTAAATACATAAATGCGAACATGTGGTACTTAGAAACAGTACAGTAATCCTTGTATTTATAATCAGCTCTGGCAAAATTTATATCCAGGTCAGGGTTGCACAGCATAGGAAAATATAAATAAAATTCAGAGGACAAAGAATGCTGGAAAAGAAAGCAGTGGTAACGAGATTTAATAAGTCTTAAGAACAGAAGATGATAAACATCTGTTCCTCATCCTTTCCGAGGACAGAACAAGAGGAAATGGCCTTCAACTACACCATGCAGGACTTAGATTAGCAATAGATGGAAAGAGGAATTTTCTGACTGTGACTGTTCTTCAACACTGTAATGGGCTACCAAGGGGAGTTGAAGCTATCGCTTGAGGTCTTTAAAAATCAGATTGAACTCATCTTGATATAATGTGATCCAAGCTTGAAGGCAGATTGATGGAATAGAAGAGCTTTTAAGGTCTCTTCTATTCTGATTCAATGTGAATCAACCCATTTCGATCTGCTGAAAATGGCCTCAAATTATACGTTTAATAACTAAAAACAGAATAAAGCTAGAGAGTTTCTAGCTTGATATAGGGATGGTAACATGAGGCCTATTCAGTAACATGAAACATGAGAGTTATTTAAAATAAATAGAAAAAAAGTAAAATAAATATAGCTAATAAGCTAAGGGTTTACATACAATATTTCTAATGTTTTCTCTATCTAAACTATACAAAATTAAATTAATCCAGTAATATCACTTATCAAAATGAAACTAAGACCAAAATTATTTAAAAGTAAATAAAAACAACAGCAAATAAATACATTAAGTCTACACATTAAAACTCATTCTTTTTAATTGTACTGTAATCCCTCATTCCTTACTCAAACTTCCATCTCTCTCCACCGTCATCCCAAATGAAAATTGCATTAGAGTTGGCTCTGATTATTATAATATGTTTATTTAAATATCAAAATATATGCAAAAAATCTCACCTAAAAATAAAGTAAAATTGAATCCAAAATTTCCAGACATAGACTATTAAAGATTCATTTTTTTCTTCTAGTCTCTATCTAAAGATATATTTTGCCAAAAAATAGGATATTATTCATATTTTTAGGAATTCATATTTCTCCTCTTAACATATCATAAACATTTTTCATGAAATAAGCACATGTGTACATGATTGCTTTTTGCTTATATAATATCCTATTGTGTATTAAATATATTTGAAACCTATCTACCATATCTTATAAAGGAATTTTCTGCATCTATTTTATGCTCCTCCTTCTCTCACTCCCCTAGACATACAGTCTGGAACAGTGATGGGAAAGAAATGATTGGATCATGGATGGACACTGATATAAGAGAAATCAGAGGCTACTAAGAAAACTGAACTGTTGCCAGACCTAAATGATGGCCCCAACTAATGATTCTCTACTTTCCATGTCCTCAGTGACCTAACTTAATATGTTCATGTCCTATTTCTAATTTCTCTAAAGACTTGATCAGTATTGTTATAGGCAGTTAGACTGACATAAACAGAGCAAGGATAATGGGCCAGGTATAGAAACTCACCAGGGCAGAAAGCCCAGAATGCCCAACAAGGGGCAAAACTGGGAAAACAAAAACCTCACCTCAGACTAACCTATCCTCCCCAAGCATATCACTAGTCATGCTGTTTAGACCCCCGGGCCTTTTCCTTCCTTAAGATAGCATCTAAGCCTCAGGTGCATTTCAGCCCCAGGCCCAGAAAAGCAACAAAACCAGACAAGGGACTTCATGGTTGTCTTAAGACCAGCTACACTGACTAGTGAACCCCTGCCCTGGCACTGACCAATCAGAGGAGACAGGGACCCTGAAAGAGCACACCTGTAAAGCTGATGAATATTCTATTGAGACCCACCCCTGGACCCTCACCTAAGATTTCCACCTGCAAGAGAAAGATAAATAAGCTCAGGATGAAGGACCCAGTGCACGCTCTCCCCCAAGGAAGACACCCTTGCCATTCCCTTTCCTCTTCTTCCCTCTAAGGGGCCCCATGAGACTTGCAACCAGGGGAGCAATGAGCAGCAGCAGGTCATCCAGGGCAAACCCCTTGAACGGTCTCCAAGGCCCCCTTTTCTCTGACTTCTCAGTAAGCCAAAGCAGCCCAGCCCAGGCTCTCCTGATGCTTCTATGCTCTTCCTCAGTATATTTTTGCTACAGCCAATAAATTCTTACTTACTTTGCCACACTTTGTATCTTGATTAAAAACTTTCCTTCAAAGAAACAAAAACCTAGGTCTCCTCATCTCCCCAGTAACAGTACTACTTACCTCATGGAAGCTGGAGCTGCAACTCTTTGGCTCATTTTCTAATAGTCTAAGACTGCTGAGAGGGAACACTTAGAAAGTACTGCTTGGCCATGGCCAAGATACAGTTATAGCTCCTTAAAATAGCCCCTTTCTCCATTGAAAGGAAATTTGAAAATTTGGGGAATAGTAGATAAGCTACTAATCTGACACCTGTATATAATGAACCTGGAATTCTCTGGAGTGGTCTCTCTTTCCTCGCAGTTTGAAGGGTCACCCCAATAGCACACATTTCCAGCCTCTGAAGATGTCTGACCCAATATTTACAAAAACATAATAGCTGGCACATAATAAGGCAGGTGATAAGATACATAGCTATGCTTTTGATCAAATAGAAAACCCTTTGCCACAAAGACACTTTCTGCATAGCTCAGATACAGTGAATCAAACATCTGTGGGCCACATATTATATGTATCCCTCACACAGTACAGCACAGGGAACATTTTCTCATCTTTGTTCCCTGCTGCTTTCCATTCTATGGCAGTGGTGTTGAATACTGATGAGATAATACCTCTTTCAACCTCTGGCAGACATTTTAAAGCAATTTGTTCAAGTACCAAGGACCCAGTCTGCATTTTTGTGGGCAATTTGTGGATCAAATTTTCTATCATCTTGAGGGTATTTTGAGTTTTAAATATAATGTCTTACCACGAACACAGTACATCTCCTTTAATTTGATTTATTTCATATATAAATAGGCCCCAAAACATGCATTGTAACAGAGATATTTGATATCAATTCAAACATGAATAAAATAGAAGTTAAAGAGAAAAATTAACTTATTTTTCTGTATGTTTTCCTAGGATTTATAGATATTTTATTTGGTTTTATTATTTTTATATGATTGGAGATAAAAATTAATTCAGAACTAAGTGAACTACTTTCTTAATTTAATAATTGAGAGCCAAATATAACCCAGGTATTAGAAACTTAATTTTGTATGTCTCTCATTAATTAATAAAAATGATTAAATAAATACAAATAATTTATTTCAGTCAACCTCATTTTCACATACATATATTGATAATATCCTTAATTTATTCTTCATATATTCCCCCATACATATATGCTTACTAAAGTCCATAAAATCAATGTCAATGATTGCCCTAAAAAGACCCTAAATAGAATGTGTTCTTATGTTTTAGAGCTACTACTTGTTTGAATAAAAATTTTTAAAAATCTATTGTACACACTGGAGGTAATAATAATGATCATTATTATATACATTCCACATAATTCAGATGTTGCAAGACATATATGCACAAACATATGCATATTATACTATATATGTCTCTAGTGTTCACAACATACATTTTATTTTCTTCAAACATCTTTTACACAATAGAGTAACACAGGTTAAACCCTGGGACAGCCTATCAGTGATGGCGAACCTTTTGAGCTCGGCGTGTCAGCATTTTGAAAAACCCTAACTTAACTCTGGTGCCTTGTCACATATAGAAATTTTTTTATATTTGCAACCATAGTAAAACAAAGACTTATATTTTTTATATTTATTTTATATATTTAAATGCCATTTAACAAAGAAAAATCAACCAAAAAAATGAGTTCGCGTGTCACCTCTGACACGCGTGTCATAGGTTCGCCATCACTGGCCTAGATTATGCCATAGTTGAGAAAATGTGTAATTTAGAAAAAAGTGACTTTCCTCTTCTTCTTTTAAAAAATAAGAGGTAAAATCTGGAAAATAAAAGGCTTTCAAATGTCTTTTCCAGTAGTCACAATTACCTCGTCTTTTAAAAATGCTGGTGGTATGAATTTTCAATCAATCAGGAAAAATAAGTTTCTATCAGGAGCCAAGACACACATCATTTGAAACAGTTGCCATTCATATAAAGATTCCAAATAAGGAATAAATCATTCCTTATTTATGTTTCATGTCTCTTTTTATTCACTATTAATCCTGTAATTTGAACTAAAGTAATCCTTATAAATATCACCTTCCTAAATTTTGATTAATATTAATTGATTCTGATTCTCATTACCCAATTATTCCTTATCATTTATAAGTTTGCTGGTGCAACCAAATACTAGTGACCTAAAAGTGTTAATGTATTACTATAATGTACAAAAGTGACCAATAATTTGGTTTAATTATAATAAGTAAAGGTAATTAATTAATGACATTTATTTTAAATATATGCTAGTCTATGTTACACATTAACAAATCTTTAACACTAAATGCTCTAAAGAGAGCTTGGTGTTTTTATAGTACATTATGCACACACCTTCCTTGAACATCATTCCAATCTCTCAGAAGCCTTTCATTTTCTTTCTGCAGGTGCTCATTTTTGGCTTGGTTTTCTGCAATGGTGTCCAGGCAGTCACAAATAAGTTTTCTAATGACCTCAGCTGGGCTTGTGACTTTCTCTAACTTGAAGGAACCAAGTCTGAACTAGGATGAAAGGAAAATATGATTAGCTTTGGAAGAATATAAAAATTGAGCAGCCCAGTTTTAAATACACATAATTTTTTTCTGAAGAGAAAAAGTTTGATTCAAATACAGCACATTTACCAGATATAGAATGAACGAAAACCTGGGCAACTTCCTTCTTTCTTATTAAAGTTTATCACATAAAGCAACACAAAACCTAAGAATAATTTTTGTAAGTTATAATTCACTCTCCCATCTCCTAGCAGAAAACAACATAAATGCCATGTGAGGATATTATCATGATTGCTACAACCTTATTTAAATCATTCTGCTGAGATTAAGATAAGAAATTACACATGAGAATTCTTAATGCTAATTTCTGTTAATATTGAAGGTAAAATTGAATAATTGACATAAGCTATTTCTGAGGAAAGAGAAAAATTTTGGTAATAGCTAAAAGAAGTGTAGGGTTTTAGGAAACTGGGGACACCACACAGTATCAAAAGCAATAATTTATTACTATAAATTATAAACAATAAAGAACTTAATTCTTCTTCTAGTGGGCACTTTAAAATAAGATAGTATGATATAGTTTTAGTTACAGTTATGGAATTCTGAAGGATACAGAGGTTCTCATTTGGTAGATAAAAATACTGAAAAGCAATTAATAATAATTACAATTATCTTCACTACTAAATTATAATTATTGCAAGAACCAGTAAGATTTTAAAAATAAATATTATATAGCTGCCAGGTCTTGCTATATGTGGAAGGACCACTCAAGCACAGCACAAATATAAATTTATCTAATCATCACCAAAATGGAACTAATGTACATTTTATAGATATAAACTGGGGTTCAGAGTAGTTATCTAATAGAGTGAAGGAATCAAGTCAAGATCCTACTCTGCTATGCTGTAAGGCTGTTTCCTGACGGAAGAAGATATTCTAACTAAACAACTAGGAAGAGGAAACATGAGGTTCAGAACCTCCACAGAGAGATTCTGATGACACTGAGCGGCACAACTGAGAGAAAAACTGAGCATATTTTGGTTTGGTTTGGTTTTGTTTTGTTTTAGCCTTCTAGATTAGTAATTTATACTATAGCATTTAATAAGAACATTTCCAAATGTCTTGCTTTAAAAAGAATATTTTTATAAGTATGTTATATACATATTGAGAAATATGAAACAGTGGTTGATAATCTTGAGGGAAATCCCTATGAGTCAATTTACAAATAAAACTAAAAGTCACTAAGTAAAAATCCAATGTTTACAATCTGAAAAACATTTCAGTTTATTCCTGTAATTTAGTATCATTTGAATGTTTAACACTTGGATTGCGGGAAACGAGTTAAGTCGGCTCGCGTGAATTGCGCGTACTCCGCGGGAGCCGTCTTAACTCGGTTCATATAGATTTGCGGTGGAGTGCGGGAAACGTGTAAACTCGGGCCGATTGTAACTGCGTATTACCAAATATTTGTTTGTTTGCCGTTCACAAAGATACCTACCTGTGTATGCGAACCCATACTTCAAAAGATATAGGCATTTTAAACTAACTCTGATTTTGCGCGGGAAACCTAAATAATTGCCCGCACCATCTTATATTTTGGCGGGAAATTCACCCGACACCGTAGTGTAACTACACAGAATAACTTTTCTGGATAAATTGTGTTTACTAATTTACTTTAAATTTTCAGAAAGAAAATGTACTTAATATTAAAGAAACAGTGACAAAGGCTAAATACTGATTATTCCTACATGTTGAGAAACATTTATTTATACTAGCTTTAAATCTAAAGGGGAAAAAAGAATATTTATATTCTTTAGTATTATTATAGGCACACTTTAGAGGATTGAATAGCCAAAATTAAAATTGTGTGTGTGTGTATGCTAATGTATGCTTAATCTTTTAATTTGTTTTATCTTACCTCTTCCTGTTTTTTTAACACAAGGAGAATCAGATTAGAAAAAAATGGTCCTTTAATTCAATTAATACATCCAGTTGTATCAGGCTTATCTATGTAACTAAATTAAACAATTTGGACAATGTTTACCAAAAAAAAAAGACTTGGAAAAACCAAGAATTATCATTTATTCCATTAAAATTATTTCAGGCAATTTGTCACATCTGATTTATATATCTTAAACTTAGAATTAAATGACCAAGAGCACTTGCAATTTTCTCATATAATGAAACAAGAGTCCATTTAACAAGCTTGTAAGTTTAAATAAGAAAATTTTATCTATGTAAGGAATATATAAGTTGAAAGTAAATTTGAGTATTTACCCTGAGAAGCTTCTCTTAGTGTAAACATATATGCACACAAAATAAAGATCATCTGTAGAGTATTACTTTTCAAGTCAATACAAAGTAGAAGAAAAATTAAGCTTATTTTATTTTTAGACAACAGATTACATTATCAGTAAAATGTAAACACAAAAAAAGTGATGTTTTAATTCTCTCATCACAATTGTCAGACAGCTTTTACTAAGATGGACATTTTTAGAAAGGAAAGAGTTTTCATCACTTGAAAGTTTCAACAATGACAAATGAATAATTAATTTGTGCCACATTTTAATCCTGAATAAAGTAATTGGTAAAATACAAATACACAGATAAACACAAGTCCAGCCCCCATCCTTCTATCTTAGATAGCAAAGGAAGAAGGAACCAATTCTAAATCACTCATTACAATCAACTTCTTTCAAAACATATATACATTTCAAATGTATATATTCAAAATTCCAAAAGAGATTCTTACATCATTTCTTGGCTATTCAGTATAGAATGAACTTAAAATGTCACTGCTTCTTAACAGTACGCAACTATTTTTTGGTTTCTATTTTCTAATTATATTCCCTAATTTTTTCCTTTAACAAGTGTGAACATCTGTTATTCCAAACAATAAAAATGAACAAAAAGTATATCGAAACTCAATCCAAGAAAAGGATTTTACTTAAATATTATTTCTTTGAAAAATTCTGTTCAGTATGAGAGAGTGACTCTCCTGGACCATTTTGCTTATATACACACTAGAGGCTTGGTGCACGAAACTCGTGCACAGAGAGGGGCTCCCTCAGTCCAGCCTGCACCCACTCCAATCGAGGAACCCTCGGGAGATGTCCGACCGCTGGTTTAGGCCCAATCCCTGTGGTCGGGCCTAAACCGGAGGTCAAACACCCCTTTCACAATCTGAGACTGCTGGCTCCTAACCACTCACCTGCCTGCCAGCCTGATTGCCCCTAACCCCTCTGCCTGCCTGACTGATCGCCCTTAACTGCCTCTGCCTTCCTACCTGATTGCCCCTAACTGCCTTCCCCTGCCAGCCTGATCGAGCCCCCAACTGCTCTCCCTGCCGGCCTGATCTCACCCCTAACTTCTCTCCCCTGGTGGCCTGATTGCCCCTAATGCCTCTGCCTGCCTGATCATCCCTAACTGTCCTCCCCTGCAGGCCTGATCTTGCCCCCAACTGCCCTCCTCTGCCAGCCAATTTGGTTCTGATTGGTCAGTTTCTATGCCAGTCAGTGTCAAAAGCTCTGCCTCCTAGGCAGCCATTGGCTCTTCACAGTTGACCCAGATTTGGTTCTGATTGGTCAGTTTCTATGCCAGTCAGTGTCTCTGGGACTATCAACAGGGCCTGATCAGAAAGGCGGGGCTGATCAGCAGCCCCAGTGGAGGCCTGAAGAGAAATGGAGGCGTGGCTGTTGGCCAGGCTGGGAGAGAAAGAGAGACAAGTTCTGATCAACGGCTGCCACAGAGGCTACGGATCAGACCCTACCTCTCTCTCTGCAGGCCTCTCTCCGGGCCTGATCCGCAGCCCCCTAGCAGTCAGTGCAACCCAGCACTGACTTCCAGTCTGGTCAAGCTTTCGGTAGTTATGACCCTGGCTCTTTATTATATAGACGGGTCAGAACCGAGAAGGAAGTATCCTTCCACTTTCACGGCTGCCGTTCCAGCCTGCCCACGTCATTACAGATGCAAGGCTCCACCTGCCCATATGCACTGAATTTCGATGAGGACTTCATATCAGGCTGAATGAATTCAGAGGCAAAAAGTATTTGTGCTCTAATCTATATTCAGCCCATCCTTATCCTGCCACTCAAATGAAAAGTGGCAACGAAGGGAAGTATTGTTTATAAAACTAGAAAATTTGCACAAAAGCTATATTGTATGGTTGGGTCAATTTTAAATTCTTTAGCTTTTTGTTTGACAAGTAAGGCTATTAGCATTACTGTTCTTTATTTATTAGTTCTGTCATTTCAAAATAATCTACAATATAAAATCTGGGCTTCAAATGGTACACCAGAATCAGAAACCACAAATTAAAGACATTTTGGAAGCATATTTCTTCCTTAGAAGCATGGGCAAAAATACGTTTCTTTTTGTAGCCAGTTCCAAAGATCTTTTGAGGAATTCAATGTACATAGATCTATACTGAGCACCTCAATCAGTCTACAATCTAAGATTTAAGCTGTCTTTATTTTTCTATGTAAAAAAGTTGAGAACAATTAACTTTCTAAATGTAGTTAATCATGGTAGGTTACACTAGACAAATACATAATTGCATATGCATAGTTGTAAAATTCTAGTAATATAGGAAATCAGTTATATTAGGTAATAAACAGGAGAGTAAACAGTATTACTTTGGCCTAGTTATATTAATCATCAACTGTAAGTATTTTGAATCAACCGTATTTTCACTAAGACCTTTTAATCATGAACTCTGGTTCAGTGACATGCTCAAATGTTTATTTTAGATTTAAACAAATAAAACATTACAAATGAAACTTCTAAAGCAGTAACATATCTGAGTTGACAACTGGTCACATTTATCTCCCAAGGTAGCTAGAATTGAGAAAAGAATACTGATAAGAACTAAAGAGGCAAGAGAGCTATATTGTGAGACTACTAATCTTACTTTTCCAACCATTTTCTTGTCCAACTTTCTTACAGCTCAAAAATATGCTTAAACATTTCAGACTACATAATCAAGAAGGCTCTGCAGCCCTAGCTGGTTT